CTCCAGACTCCAGGTTACCTTTGGCTGAAGCTCGAACACTGGCATAGGGTCGAGAATATTGGAAGCGCTGCGCAACGCGTTTGCGTCTGCCACCTGTTTACGACCGGTTCAACGCATCAGCCGCTAACGTTGTTTAATCAGTGTATTAAGGCTGTTGCAAAGCCTGGAGTTTCATATCTTCAGATCGTTTAGTCAACTTCGACGGAAACGCTCGCTTACTTACAGGGCCATATTCAGAAACAGTGCAAATGCAATACAATGCGCTAGGTTTTCCATCGAAGTAGCCGCATTTCTAACTATTGCTCGTTTTAGCAGTTCTCTAGTATTGCATAAATAATACTCGGCACGTGATGTAGCGCAGATAAGGAGGGTATTAAAACCAAAAGTGACTGGTTTGAGACGCTTTTGACTCTCCTCGTGTACCAGCGTCAAGAAAGACGCATTGGATCATTGCTTTATCCTGTACAGATGTTCCTCGACTTACGATATTGTTAGATCCTGACGTACTCATCGTCAGGTAAAAATATCGTTAGTCGAATATGATTGTATTATGATAAAAAATAACTGTTTTCATTTAATAAGTAAATAAATGAATAATTTGCTGAGTAGATACCAAGAATTGAAAAGTTAAAATTATTTGCTGGAAGACGATTCTAGAGTCTAGGTACTGACGACAGGGTCATGAATTTTTTTCTTCTGGTGATTCGCGTTCGTAACCATTGGTCGTACTAGATGCTCGTATCATTCATTGGATCGCCGGCACTTCATCGCTGAGGAACAGGCACTTGCTTCTTCAAGAAGACATTAAGTTTATTAACTAAATAATTTGTTTCTTCGTTTCATTATAAATTTTTATGGCATTTTTGGCAAGAGCATCCTGTATTTGTTTTTCAAATTTTGTAAGCCTCGTAATTATGATCATATCGTCACCGTGTGATACGTTAATAATGATTGTGAGATGTTTATTCTCGCGATCGCTATAGAAAATAAGGCCATTACCATCTAACCATCGTAAGTTGGAACTATCATAAGACGAGGAGCATCAGTATAGGCAAATAAGTTTTTCTTCAAGCAGAGTGGAAAAGTTTCGAACACCATTCTTGTTGTAAACTCTTGGATCGCAAGTTCGTCTAGCGTTGGAATATTGCAAATTGACCATGCTAAAGATTGTAGACATAGGATGACAGAGAAAACAGTCCATTCATTCACATATGTTGTTGAATATTGTTGTTGTTTTTTAATCGTCATCTGAGGTTTCCAAAATTTAAACAGCGAAGTAACCGAGGTTTATGGTTTCTCACCGTTATAGATAATCGTCCATAAATAAATGTATTGAGTTTCTGTCTGTATGTCATTAATTAATTTTCTGATACTTTGTCTTTCTATTTTAGTATCATCTGTTACCCTTCTTTCTCTGAGTTCGATCCGTTTACCTCCGTCTGTCTGTGTTTCTGTCGGTATCTGTGTCTCGTTCATTGGTTTTCTGTGTTTTTCTGCCTTCTCTTTACGGACTGTACGGTATGATATACAATTTACTTTACAACTTCTTGCCTCGCGGCTGCGTCTTGACCTATTCTTCTCGGTCGCAGTCTTTTGCTTGATCATTCGCTGACTTTCTACCCATATTTCTATTAATTTTTTTGTTACTTGTGTTTGAAACGCTTTTATCGACTTTATTTCACATATGATTTATGAGCGATGCCTGTGTTGTAGGCTCTTCACCGTAAGGAGAATCGTGGATTGAGGAACCGAAACAACCAGTGCACATCCCCGGACTCAGACGATGACAGCTACGATGCTTCTCCACCTGTGTCGAACGTGCAGCAGCAGCCGCAGTTTCCTCGCCAAAGCCATACCCCCGGCGAAGCGGAAAAGTTTTTCGCCAACCAACTACCAAACAGCTCGCTGCCGAACTCCAGGTTGATGGAAGCCACTTCGTTGAACAGAGTAAGTGACCGCAGTACGGTTTACTATCGTTGGACGATCATTACCTTCCGATAACGCCAGTTGCATAATTCAGATGTTGACTGTACTATTTTGATCCGCGACACCTTTAAGGAAAAATTGCAGGATCACAGAATGTAGTCCTTCTAAGAAGTATCAGATACCACGTACGATGACACATATCGTGAGGTGAATGAGGTTCACGATATAGGTAATGAAATGCCTTCAGTGTTATACATACTACTGCTTCAGATACTGTATTTGATTGATATGATACATATCTTCTGTATAGCATTTATACAATAATGAGTAACATTTGAATGATTGTGGATTTGATTCTGCTTAGCCTGAAGAATGCCAGCATAGAATTTTTCGAAATGTTATACTTTGTAACATTCTGAATGTAAACGCAATTTAAAGCCATGATAGACTTGACCGTATTATTAAAAGAATGGCAGGCAATTTTGAAAAAAATTATCTTGCAGATGCTAGCCTATTCGTAGTGTTTCGTGCCATATCTACTCCGCGGCTGCACTAGGCAGCACGCAGACTATGGACACGCAGTTTTGCTCTTTGGCCTGCATCTCTTCTATAATATGTGTATCTGTGTGTGTGTGTGTGTGTGTGTGTGTGTGTGTGTGCCGCATTCATGTGTTCGCCAGTCAGTCAGTTTCGATTATCCTTATCTGCAGAG